CCCCAAAACCCTACACCCTAAGCCCCTAAACCCCAAAACCCCTAAAGTCCATTGCAACGGTAGCAGAGTCGCTCTCCCAAACACAGAGACTCCAAGGCTAAGATCAGGGCTCCTGGGATGATTAGGGTTTAGGGTTTAGGGTTTAGGGTTTAGGGTTTAGGGTTTAGGGTTTAGGGTGATTTCGGATCTCGACTTTCAATCCCCAGCCCTAAACCCTAACCTAAGGTTTAGGGCTTTGGGGTTAAATCATACACCCCAAACCCTGACCTAAGGTTTAGGGCTTAGGGCTTAGGGTTTAAATCCTACGTCCTAAACCCTAAGTCCTACACCCGAACAGCATACTAGTCCCCATGTCGTTGAAGGTGGGTTCAGGGCGGCTAGCTATGGGGGCAAAACCCAAACCGCTAATCCCTGCGAAGAGATGGGTTTAGGGTTTAGGGTTGAGGCTTTAGGGTTCAGGGTTGAGGGTTTGGGATGGAGGAGTCTTTAGGGTTTAGGGTTTAGGGTTGGGTTTAGGGTTTAGGGTTTAGGGTTTAGGGTTTAGGGTTTAGGGTTTAGGGTTTAGGGTTTAGGGTTTAGGGTTTAGGGCTCTGGGTCTAGGCTTCAGGCTGTAGGGTCCTTATGGCAACGGAGTTTGGCGCTTGGGGGGAAGAGCTCGAAAAACCCATCGTGTTTGTCATTTTGTCCGCCAACGTTTGGGTCTTGAACGAGCTCCACGCAGAGCTTTCGTGATTACGCAAACCCTAAACAACCCTAGAGATCATGTCTTTAAGACGCGCAGGCTGTTACAAGAAGGATTTCACTCACTTTTCAGCTTCAGCTGGACAGGCAAATTCGGTGCAGCATATCCACGTGCGGGTCTTCCGCTGGGGTCCTTGCTGTGTTCGCTTGTGAAACCTTCGTTAGCACTTGGGCTTTAGGGTTTAGGGTCTAGGGTTTAGGGTTTAGGGTTAAGGGGTTAAGGGGTTTAGGGCTAAGGGGTTTTGGGTTAAGGGGTTTAGGATTACGGGGTTTAGGGTTTAGGGGTTTGGGGTTAAGGGGCTGAGGGTTTAGGGTTACATGGTTTTGGGTTTAGGGGTTTAGGGGTTTAGGGTGGGGTCTGTGGTCCTTGGTGTCAGTCGGCACGCGGGGGCAGCGTCGAAGGCTCCACCGGTTCCACCACGCCCTGGCTATCGCCTGCTTTGCTTCCGATGAAATGCTCCCATGCTTTTGGTGGCCATTGGACATCCATTGGGACCTGAACATGCTAAACCCTAAACCCTAAACCCTAGACCCTAAACCGATGCTAGCCTAGCCCACAAGCCCGCCACTTCCAACTCTGAGCTGAAACATATCACACATTTTGCTAACTACGCCTCATGTATTTGCCAATCCGACACGTTCTTACTATTATAGTCTACTACTAGAGTACACTACTAGAGTCTACTATTGTAGTATTATAGGACACTCTTATCTGCTTTATGTGGCGATCGTGCCATGCACACTCTAAACCCTAATCCCTAAACCCTTGTAGACACGTTTGAAAGGGTGGGCAGCCGGGAGCCGTTAGGTGGGCCTCGCTGGTTTACACGGTGCTTGAGAACAGAGGAGGGTTTAGGGTTTAGGGATTCGTACCAAATAATCATATACTCTCCCGAAGATTAACCTAGATAACGATAACTACCAGTACCATCCTTAACCACAGTACCTGATTATTGTCTAGGACATTTTCAGGTGGGTAGTTACCGTTATAGGAGCCTTATAGAAGGTCTTTATCCCTTACAGAAGCCTCATAGAAGCTCTATATACCCTAAACCCTACAGTAAACCCTAAACCCAAAACCTTAATCCCCAAACCATTATAGAAGCCCTATATACCCTAAACTCCCCAGCTGTAGTTTCCTTTAATATTGGGTCCTTTGGGCCCTTCCGGAGAGGCTTGCTCCTATCTCAGATTCAGGGTTTAGGGTTTAGGGTTTAGGGTTCGCCATGCTCGCACCCTTCACAGGATCATGTTGGGGGGTTTAGGGGTTTTGGGTTTTGGGTTCAGGGGTTTAGGGGTTTTGGGGTTCAGGGGTTTAGGGGTTTACGGGTAACCCTAAACCCTAAACCCTAAACCCTAAACTCTAAACCCTAAACTTACGGTTTAGGGTTTAGGGCTTAAGGGGGAGATCTGCGACATCTGAGGCTCCTTGCTTACTGCAGCGTTACAGACCTAAATGTAAACCCCAAATTCTCAAACTGCAACGCATTAAACCCTGGATTCTAACATAGGGGCCTTCATAATCAGAATAGGGTTTTGGGGCCTATTATACGATAATGATAACAAGGAACCCCCAAAATAGGATTGGTACTTCTCTAGGCCCCTAATTTTACAACTGCCAAGAAAGAGCCACAAGTGAAGAAGAGCCAGGATGCAGCATCGAGAAGCCAGAAACCGACAAAAAACAGGTGGCCCACAAAGCAGAGGGAACAACCCATAAAACTGTACCAGCCACGAGGATGCATGAAGCAGTCCTCGTAGCAATCGGCGTGTGCAGGCGGGCCGCATACGTTTTCTGTGGCAGCTGTGAAGATCGACCCAAAAGCCGCCAATACGAGCATAGCGGCTGCGGGCCCAGTTGCCCGGCCCCCGCGGATCCAAGAAGTTCTCGCCACGCCAGCCCAGATGCAAGCCCAGTAGAGGTCAACGACACCCGCTGCAGACATAGCCACGATGGTGCTGTGTTGGGAAAACGCGAAGAGACACGTAAGAACCACTGGCAGAAAAAAGACTGAGATCAGCCATGACGTCAACCAGAGGATGTGCATCCCTTCCCAAACTACTTCCGCCAATCCACTGGCAATTGTAAGCCAAAAGAACAGGGAAACCACCACCACGGCGCGGCCACCCAAAGCAAGGGCAAGGCCATCCCGCTGGTTGAAGGCAACATGCGCGACTCCCTCCAGTAGATAGCCGATGCCACGAAGTAGAAAAGCTGCAATCAAGGCTTTTCGAAGCTTTGGGGAATATGATACAGGCACAATGCGGATCACCAGCGCAATGAGCCACATGCCGATACCTCCGTGGGCAAAGTACCAGTACCTCACTGTCCTCCAAAGCCTATATCCTGACAATTACCATCATCCCTAAATCCTAATTAAACCCTAATCCTGAACCCTATAAACCCTAAACACCTCTAGGCCTCCTAAACCCTAAACCCTAAACCCTAAACCCTAAACCCTAAACCCTTTAGGGTTTAGGCTTTAGGGGTTTAGACCAGCTGCCGCCAAGGAAGAATGCAGCGACGGTTCCTTCATGAGCCGCTCGGTGGAGGTACGGATCCTGGATTCACGGTTTAGGGTTTAGGGTTTAGGGTTTAGGGGTTTAGGGTTTAGGGTTTAGGGTTTAGGGTTTTCCCGGATCCTGGACGAGGGCCGAGGTCCGGTGCAGCCAGACGAGGCAGTCGGAGTCCATTTGCTCGGGGTGCAGGGTTTAGGGCTTAGGGTTTAGGGTTTAGGGGTTTAGGGTTTAGGGGTTTAGGGTTTAGGGTTTAGGGTTTAGGGTTTAGGGCTTGGGGAGTCCGTGGGAGGAGCAGACGCAAAGCTGAGTATGGGTCCGAAACCTCATACACATCACATGATTCACCTTGAGTAGGGTGTAAGGGATTTGGGTTTAGGGGTCTAGGTATAGGGGTTTAGGGGTTAGGGTTTAGGGTTCGCAAGGTGATCCCTAGATGCAGAGAGCCCTATGTTCCTCTCTGAGCCGCAACAGGCCCTACTCTCTCTAATCTCACTTCGCTGTAGGATCTTTGTCGGATGGCTCTCCGAACACCCAGTGTGAAACCCCCGGTATCAGGAAATTATAACAGTAGTACATTAACATGTAATCCTTGAAGGAACCCCTGCAGTAAACCTTAAAGGACTCCGTGTTGTAGCAACAGGGCTCATGAATGATGTAACCATGCGTATAACGACATATAACCACAAGCCAAATGAGGCACACATAACCCTGTTTGCCAAGTCCCATGATCCAATAAGTACCCCTATAGCACCCTGTTTATAACCCTTTAAAAGGAACCTCTTACAGGTTCCTAGACCCTGAACCCTAAACCTCTACAGCCCCACACCCTAAATCCCTAACCTCTAAACCATTATGAGAGTAGCCCTGATAGCCGTCATTTCCTTACGAAAGTAGCTCATATAGTCAGATATTCCGCACCTGAGCTGCTAGGATTAGCATAAGCCGGGAGCCGCATTTCATCAAGCTTGGGCCCCACTCCGAAACGGGTTCCTTGAAGCTTAAGGTTCGAGTCTAGGATTGAAGTTTAGACAAGGTTCAGAGCCTTGAATCCAAAGTGCTATGCCGTTAAAAAGGAGAAAGGGGTCTGAGTGAAAAGGCCGCTAGAGAGGAGGTACTTGATTGCTCAGTAGGGTTCACCCCCCACATGACCGCAACAAAAACACACAAAACCCAATAAACCCCCACAAAACCAATACAAAACCATGCCCGCCTAATAATGTCATCAGCCGTTTTGGGGTGTCTGCGGTTTGGGCTTGGGGCTCAGGAACATCCGGGGGAGTTTAGTGTATTTCTATCGCCTTGAAACCCTAAAGCCTATGCTCTAAATCAAGCAGCTACTGCGCGTTCATGAATGCATGCCCGGGTCCGAGTTTAGCTTAGGGTTTTGTCGGGTCTGTACATGCCCGAAGGTTATGGTATTGGCATTGAGATTTGGGGTCGAAACACTCGAGTATTGTGGTCTTCGGTAGTGAAAGTTGGAGTGCTGCTGCCGGAGAAGCACCCATGATGAGACTTCATTGCTGCCTATCCTTCAGCTGATCGTCGAACTACTATCACAACGAAATCCGACTTGCCAGTATCTTAGGGGAACTTAGGGCGAACATTTGGGATTAGATACGGATTGAACTGGCCACATCCAGGTGCTCCAGTAAAAACCAACGTGGCGAGTAACAGCAACATTACGATTGAATACAAAACATCCAAGACTGTCGTACCTCAAACAGGTTAACCGTTGAAGGTTAATATGTACATATGCATGTACATGTAAATTGAATGTATATGTATATAATGTATATATGTATATATGTATATA